GGTTGGAAAAGTGGGGGTCGTCTTGTACATGGGGGCGTCTTATTGACGGAAAAATACAGTAGTTTAAACAAATCATAAATAATGCCAGACTGGGTCAATTTGTTCCTGTATTGTTACTAAAAACTGACACCATCTAGTTGTGAAAAGTCATCCTGAGCATACCTCTTGACTTCCTAAATGCAAAAGAATCTTTTCTGATAGAGAATATATGTTGTTCTTAGTTGAAGCGCAGAAGCCTGGTTCTTATATTAAGAAAGTTGAAAACCAAAAGATACATGTGACTGTGTTTTTTTTGCTTTCTTGCATTACTCACCCCCCAAAGTCTGAGGCATTCTTTTCGGATATCAGCCTGACGTGGTTCATTCAAAGTCCTGAAAGAATATATAAGCTTCTATATCTTCCAACAAAAAGATACTTCAGGTTCTCTCTTTCCCACCTATTCTCAGAGGATATGTTATTACTATCCATCCACCTAGTCACTGGGTCACATTGTTTGAGTTGGGTGGCCTTATGAATAATAGATAATACATAAATAAATAAAACAGTAGTTTCTGAAACACAATGCTGTCTCACACATAAGTTTGTTTCCCTACAATAGTATGGCATTCTTGCTTCTGAAAAGGCTGTCTATAGTAGTTCAAATAAGAAAAAGCCAACGTACCACATTACAGATTTTGGCCATAAAACACACTGCTTCTAATACAAGGAAAATCAGTAGGACAAATTTAGTGACAACACACTAGGGCCCAGTGACTTGAAAGACAATAAAATCCTACCAATTTAGCCTAGATCAGGCCCATTCTCATCATGCCATGCCTAAATCTGTATCCTGCTACTACAAATGAAGATTACATTCATGAGACTAACTATGCAACATCTCAAATAATCCACACATTAATTTCTAGTAAAATCCTTAACCACAGTTTCTACAAAGAGAACATTTTGAAAATATCAAATCTACTTACGTGTCTTGAACAAAGGCACGAATTTTGGCCAGGGCTTTAATCTGAACAGCAGAGAGTCTGAAAGAGAAAACAAGTCTACTTTAGAACATTCAGAGGAACTTGCTAAATGGAAGCCTTCTGAATCAAAATAAGAATTAAAAAATAAGAGGCAGAAAAAATAAACATGCACATTTCTACTATATTATAACGAGTCACACTGCACTGATACTGTTAGAAATTGAGGAGCATTTCATTTGCACTCTTTGCTCATGATAGCATTTTTCAGTTGGTGAAAAAAAAGAAAATCAAAAATTAAGATTACCCAGGTTTCTAGTGATCACTAGATCTCTTATCTATAATATCACTGTACAACAGAGATGCATACACCTCCAAAGTGATCTGGAAGAAATGCTTCAGGCAACACAATAGCAGCACCTCTCTGTTATTGATTAAAGCAGAACCTCTCTTTAGGCTACCATGGAAGCATGAAAGAAGACATGGCTGTTTTCACACAGAAGACTAGAAAAACAGAGCAACTGTTCTCATGAATACAAAGAGGTATCTGAAGCACTTCTTTCACATCACTTTCAAGTGTGCACTAACTCACTTCAGAGTAGGGGGCACAATCAGCTGCCTGAAACCTTGGGCTGGGCTGGCCTCTGGAGATAAGGAATTGGATATAATATATACATAAAGAGCTTTATTTCATCACTTGCCTTTTGCTAAGCATACACAATGATTTAGCTTGCTTGGCACATAAGAAAAAAATAATGAGCCTTGGAAAAGAGATACCTTGCCTACGATATCAGACTGGAAGACTACAATTGGAGAATATGCTGCAATGGCAAAATTGAGAGTATATATCCATAATGGAAGTTTAACTAAATTCAAGCAGGAATGGCTCCCTTATATACAATACATCACAGAACAAGGCAGATTTAGATATCTGGAATATGGTTTTCAGGGCTCCAATAGAAACTAATAACATTTACTAAAGTTTAATGTAAAGTTCAAATATCTAAACTGTGACTAGTGCTCTGGGATACAAATAAAAGGGAAGGGGAGAATGTGTCATTAAAAAGTAATTTACTTGGTCTTTTTCCACTATGTTTTAAAATTCAAATGTAGCAGTCTTCTTCATATCATATCGCTTTTTTTAACTTTCTCTGCATTTCATTATTTATTTATTTATTTTAAAAAGCTTTTTTCCTCTTTGTATTTCAGTATTTTTACAATAAATGCATGGAAGAAAAAAGAAAAAACAATGTGTCTTATAAAGTATGTTCTTGTGCAAACTATTAAATTTAAAAAGATACTCAGTGAAATAACTCTGATAATTTTCTGATAGCAAAAGTAACTTGGCAAAATCACTAGCAAAAAGAGTGCCACTATCCAAAGGCAAACCTTTATTTTTTTCTTGGAGATACTGATTTCTTCTCAATGTACTAAACTCACCTTTTATTTGAGCGTATCATGTAGTCATAGAAATCATGATCACCTCTGATTACTTCCAGGGGAACAACAAGATTAACATCTTGGTCAGAGTTGCGTAGCTGGTTGAGTTTGATGTTCACTGTGAAAAGATATTCTCTCACTTCATCAATTCCAGATTTTAATCCACGGCATACCACATACCTGTAGATACACAAAATACTTTTTTCTTCGTTTTTTGTGGATTTGGGATTTTTGCATATAATTTTTTTAAATGAAAAAAAAAGATATTCATGTTACACAATGACTTTCTAATACCTTTTACTAGATTATAAGGTAAACTTCTGTAAATCTATGAAGAAACATGGATCATGCTATAAGAAAAGTATCTGCTGTGGTCTGGGGTTTTTGGAAGACAATGGGTCCAGAATCATCAGGTGCTTAATTGTCTTATTTTTTCTGATGTTGCTATTTTTCAAAACTATTTGAAAATGACAGTAGGAAAAAGAAATTGCATGAACTAACAGTGGGCTCTGATTAATTGTAGATTACAGGTAACTGTGTCCCATTTACACTTTCATATGCCAACAAATGTATTGGGCTATTGTAGCCCATTCAAGCATTTCCTAAATGGTTACTGATACATTTCATGTTAAAAACAGAAAAAATGAGAAAAAAATCAAGCATAGTTAGGTGGCCAATAAAAAAATACTCTCTTTTAGTCTCTTGTAGGGTTCCTTCTCTTCCCCTGACTCCAAGAATGGAAAATTCACAGCCAAAACTAGTCATAAAACTTGTGCCAAGACTGCAGTTACATCAAATCTTTTATCACTGTTTCCTTATTCAAGCAGATAATTGCCTTCACATTTCTCAGTCTCACCTTTCTGAATTGGCAGGACGGCTTGTCACAGGTTTGAAGATTGACACACGTTCAAAGCAGCAATACAACAAATATACAAGGCCAACACTGAATGGTGTGAATAAGTCAAAGGTTTTGCAGAGAAAGTGCCCTCCTGGAGAAAAAAAAAGCAATGAAAGAGGAAAAATGCATATTATTTTATATCCCATCTTTCCATCAAGATACTGATTTTATCTTTCTGTAACTTAAATGAAACCAAGATAGAATGCTTTGGCTGTAGCTACACAATGAGTTTGTGGCTCATCAAAGAACTAAATGTATGTTTTCTCACTCTGTTCTAAGCTTTATTGGATATCCATCTGCTACATGAGTTATCATAGCAGTGAAGCCTTACCCACAGACAACTTGAAAAAGTAAGTTATGACGATCTCAAAGAACTGGTGGCAGTCATGGCCTTGAGGACCCTTGTACAAATCCACCTTGTGCCAATCGTGCCCATTTCTGGTTCAGGCAGCCCTGTTCAGGCATGCCTCAGTCAGCTCTCATTTGGACTACTGCAATGCACTCTACATGGGGCTATCCTTGAAGACATTCAGAAGCTACAAGTTGTCCAGAATACTGTGGCACAAGTAGTTATGGACGCATCACAATACACCTGTTTAACACCACTACTATAAAGACCTCTAGTGTCCTGCTACAAGAATATCATATTCTACGAACCATCTTGGTTGAGAAACAGTGAGAAGAAAAATAATTGATCTTTAAACTACATTTTAGAAACAGCAATTCCCAGTAACAAAAAAAAAAATTAAATGAAAACAGCCCAAACCGGAGAACCTTGTCAATTACAGTCTAAAGCTTACACAAATATCTTCAAGGGAAATGCTTCACAAATAGGGAAAGATGAGAAAGACTAGAGAACAGCTAACACCAAAATCACAAGAGACAGGAGGAGGAAATATGAAGGTAAACACAAATGGGACAGCACCTGTCCGTATAACAGAGAGTCCTGTGAGGAATTGACAAAGCATTAGCTGCTTGCTTAAGATCTCTTGGATGTTTTCCTGCCCCTCTACAGAGAAGCCCTGAAACACACAAAATTAAATGCAAAATTTTTTAATATCACCATCTATATAACTAAAAAATAATTGCTCTTCAGGGTTTTTTTAGCACTATCATCCAAACAAGCCACCATAGCAACTAATCTTTCCCCCTCTGGAGTGCAAAGTTGCACCCTGCCCACTGAGCAGTACATTGCTGCCACTTCCTCATCTATCTCTTATCAAAGCCAACCACAGCTGAATATGCACATTACCTTTCCAAACCCTTCATTTGTTTATTTTAGCAACAAATACAACTGAGATATGTAGATTTGGGATGGAGGGAGAGAACAGAAGTAAAAGCAGCAGTAATGTGTCTTCTTTCTGGTTACAAACTGATAGGGATCATCTGCTTAAAGGATTATGCCGGCCCTTTCATCTCATTTTTCTGTAAAGTCCTACTGGCAATACTAGCTGGTCATTCTGGGAGTTGCAGTCCAAATATGGATTGGAGAAGGTTATTTTATAATAATTTTCAAGGAACCACTGCTTGTCTGTTGCACAGCACATTACCGGTTTCTGATCATTTCTAGCTCAATGGCCAAGGTTATTCTGACAGAGGGTAGCAGCACTCAAGTCTTGTACACTTGAGGCATTTATTGAAAGGGAAAGGGAAAGGAGGGAGCTCAGATTCATATTACCTCTAGAGAGCCCTTTGGAACTTGGCTGTTAAGAGGAGAGATGATAATTGACCTTGCTTGAGCTCCACAGGCTCTTGTCCCCGGAGTTTGCTATGTTATTAATTACAAACATGTCCCTCTGGGATAGAATGACTATGCATGGTTAAGTCCATATAGTCCCCAGGAGTCAAGTTCAATTCAAGGGCATTTTATAATTATTGCAGCTAGACAAAATTTGTCAACTACATCTCAGACCTTTCACAAGATGTCCTTCTTTTGACCAAGTAACACTCAAGGGTTCTGCTTCACTTAGGAAATCAAGTATATGTTTTATTAACTGCAAATGTAAGCTCTGTACCTACATTCAACAAGATCAGCAATACAGTAACAATACCAAAGCTGAGGTTTCTCAAGAACATCTGTAACATACAATTTGGTGGCATTCTGTGAACCACTACACAGTGTATTTATATTATTAATTTCAATACAATTAATTAATCCAGTTCCAAGATAAAACAGAATGATCCATGATCTAGCTGCAAAGGAAAGCTAGCATTATGATCTTTTTCCTAATCTGCATGTCACAGCATACTATGAAAAGTAAGCTGCTGTTGAACACCTGGAGGATAAAGGAAAGGGGAAGAAACTTACCCCATCAGCCATCAAGAAATGCACCCCCTTCTGATCTGTGCTGTCCAGCACAAAATGCTGAAAGGCAGAAATGTTCTCAGGACGGGTGATGTCGCCATCTCCCTCAACACCCCCTTCACCTAAGTGAGAGAACAAGGATTTTGATTTTGATCGTGTATATTAATACTATTACTTACTAAAGAAACTTTTTTTTTAATCCTGTTTTTTAAAAAAAAACTACCTTCCAACAGGAAGGATTTTAGGATACTTATTACTAAAAGGAAAGCCATTTTTCTCATCCCAATACTGCCAGTTTTTCCTACTCTTAGATAATTAATATTCTTGCATGAAAACCTGGCATCCGTTAAGGTGTGTTTTTTTAAAAAAATGAAGACAATTTTGCGTGCGTACCATAGTAAGGCTCAAAAAGTTCACTAGAGGCAGCACAGAAATCCTCCAATTTGAAATCATTTGGTCCTTTTAAGGTCATCCCAAAACCCTTTGCGTGCCACTTCTTCCTCCAGAGGACATATTCTGAGAAACCACCAGGGCCAGCACATACATCAGCAAAGTATAGCAGCTCAGGATCACGTTCTTTAATTAGTGGTTTCTGCAAACAGAAAGGATAAAATTCAATCACTGCAACTGAATCAATCCCCCAAGTAAATAGTTGCATCAATCTGTTACATTGATTAACTGCTGAGTGCTTAATCAACTACCATTTTAATAAAATTCTAAGGATTTTCCTACTCACTTTTCCCATTCAGAGAAGGCACCAGACACACACAAATAAATGAAAACCCTCACCCCACGAGAATCCTTTGGATTTGTAAACATGTAGTCGAAGACATAATCTATGTTTGCCATCTTCATTGCAGCTCTGTAAGTGTAAGATGGGCACTTGTTAAGAGTTTGCCCTTAACTGACCAAATAGTTGCAATGTATAGTCCCTCCTCTCACCTGTTTAGGAAGAAGACTCCACGGATCATCTCATAGGGATTGGATCTTGTACGAGCTCGGCGCATCTCCTCTCCATCCAGCACATCAAAAACACTCTGCAGAAAGAAAAAATCTAATCTAAAAGGGGAGGACAGCTAAACAGAACATTTTGCAGTTCTATACCTGGATCTTTACTTTACAGAACCCTATTATGGGGAAAATTAGCAATGGATCACTCATTCTTTAACCAGAGTGTCAGCCCCATTAGGTAGACCAGATCAGAAAATCAACTCCAGAGAATTGCTAAAACTACTTTTATTGAGATTGGCTATAACAACAGAATCTTGCAAGCCTGATTGTGCTGCACCTCCTCCTCCTCCTCCTCTTCTTATAACCCAGTGAATTAGGGAGGCATCTGCCCAAGCTGCTTCCCAATGTTATCTCGCTGTTCTGCACTTAAAAAATGTTTCAGCCAAGGTAATGGTTCTGCATATTTCAGTTAGGGTCATTTTGCTTACTTTTTACACCAAGGTAATGAGATGCAAAAGTCTTGGTAGCAGCAATACCATTTTTTAGTAAAACAATTCAGGGAGTGCCACTACAAATTTCATGGTCTGGCTTTAGGCACAAAGACTAACACCAGAGCACTCAACAGGCAGGGTGCATGCATCTGCATGGAAGATTTTTATATATATATAAATTTCATTAAAAGTTTAAAAGACAACATAAAAACTAACACAAACCAATACAGAATAGGGGGGGGGGGAGAAAAAAGAAAATAAAGAAAAAAGGAGGAAGAAAAGAACAAAGGTGCAGAAAGAAAAGATAAAAAGAAAGAAGCTTCTGAAGCAAATATAAGTAAATTACAAAGTTATCTCTTACTCTGTGATTACAAAAAAGCTAACTTTTTTCTATTATCCGATTTTTTTTCTAATCATCAAAACCACAAGTCATAAGTGCATTTTTTTCTGTTTCATGAATAAAGTCTATAAGGGGTTTCCAGTCAGCCATAGATGTAGATATCATTTTTTCTTTAATCAAGGAAGTCAATTTAGCCATCTCTGCTAATTCCACCAACTCCACCAACCATTCTTCCATTGTGGGTAATGTCAATTTTTTCCACTTTTGAGCATATAATTATCTTGCTGCAGTTGTCATGAATAAAAACAAAGTTTCATGGCTTTTTTCTAACTGTCTGTGCATGCAGGATTTTCTGTGAAGCCAGAATTTGGATACGAAACTGTCAGCAAGGTGACAAAGAGCAGGGCGCAAAGAGGGTACACGTACAACCAGGATGGACCAGGACCAGGAGGGAGCTGTGAAAGACAGGGTGGATCTGGTATGTGGGCGGAAGGTAGTGCTTCCGGAAGATAGAGAGGGGGTGCCGAGAAAGGAAATGAATTATTTGTGCTACCAGTTTTTGTGTACAGCCTCACAGGAGCAGGTTTTTCTTCACCAGCCAGACCCCATCAACAACTTTCAAGAGGTGGCCCTGCTTGGCAGTGGAGGCCTGAGAAATGTTTGCATCGCTCTTTGGCCACCTGCAGCTGTTCATCAAGTGTCGTGGATGGTCTGCAGCTCCAATACCAAAGAGATGATAGGGGGGTCGGAGAGCAGGCAAGAAGTGAAGGTAAAAACCACAGCTGGATATGAACAGGTTCCGTTGAGTAGAGGCATACAAGGAGTTGTAGGTGAACTCGGCAAGAGGTAGTAATTACGCCATCTTGCTGATTGCTCACAGAGCAACACAAATACTGCGTAAGTATAACATTCATTTGTTCTGCCTACCCATTCAATTGTTGATAATATGCAGTGGACGGGTGTAAATGCACTTCCAGAACAAAATCTTCCAGAGCCTGGCAGTGAACTGGGCTGTGCAGTCTGAAATAATGCAGGTAGGCAGACAATGCGGCTGGAAGAAAAAGGCTGGCAGTTTCCTTGGCAGTAGGAATTCCCTCACAAGGGATGAAGTGTCCCTTTTTAGTGAAGTGGTCCACCATTTGGTGATGTACCCTTGAGAGTACAGGAAGGTTGTAGAAATGTCCATAGAAACGGTCTTCCAGGAGCCTGAGGGCACTAGTAAACATTACAGGAGACCAGCAGGTTTGCCTGAAACATTTTTATCCAGACGGGGCAGGTGGTTACATACACCACACCTCAACCGTGATACATCACCAGCAAAAATCCTGGATGATCAGATCTAGGGTCTTATAAAGTCCAAAATGTCCTCCACAGCTGTTTTGTTTGCTGAGTGTAGCATTTCCTCTCATAATTCCATCAAAGGCACATAAAGGTGGCTATAGTACAAGAAGCCATCCTCAGATTTAAATGGAGACGTCTTGGACTGGTCCAGGTTGCACTGGAGTTCTTATGCTGATCCTGAGTGAAATGTTCCCTTCCCTGCAGGTTTCAAATACGTGCTGTCAGGTTGGCCCCAAGGTGGCTGCAAGGTTTTCTGGCTGCAAGACAGTGGTCGTGGTGGCATCTGCTCCACAATTTGAGAGCCTGGACAAGGCATCTACCCATTTGTTGTGGGGCTGGGACATGTAGGTGATCACAAAGTTGAAGCATGAGAATAAGGCAGACCATCAAACCTGACAATGATTGAGTTTTCAAACTGTGTATACTTGCTCCAGGTTCTGGTGGTTGGGTCATACCTGTACTGGAGACTATGTCCCCTTCAGATGCTGCTTCCAAACCTTGAAAGCATTCTTGATAGTGAGCAGCTCTTCCCACATGGTGTAACTGATTTCAGCTGCAGCCAACTTTCCTAAGTGAAAGGAGCAGAGCAAAGGTGATTGATTTGGTGTTGTGCCCTGCAAGAGGATTTCTGAAGTAGTAACATTAGGAGCAGATACTATAGAGATTTCATGGGGTCTGAGTGCTGAAGGAGTGTGGATGCAAACATCTCCAATTATTGGAAGGTCTGCTGCGCTTCAAAACCTCATTGGAATTCCAGAGTAGCCCAGAGACAGGAGCAGTGATATATGAGAAAGCAGAAATAAACCTGCAACAGAAGTTTGCAAAACCTAGGAACAACTGCATATCTTCTTTGTTACTTGAGAGCTGCCAATCCTGGTTTACTTGAACCTTGATAGGATCCATGCCCAGGCCTTCAGCTGAAATGCAGTAGCCCAAGAGTTCCACTTCAGTGAGGTCAAATGTGCACTTTTCCAGCTTAATGTGCAGACAATGCTTTTGCAGACACTGCAGGATGAATTTGACATGGGTGGTATACTCCAGCGGTACCCTGGAATAGATCAAGAAGTTGTCCAAACAGATAATCACAAACTGAAGATTTAATGAAAAGCTGGAAGACAATCAGGAGTTACAGAGTCTGAATGGCATAACCAAGTATTCAAAATGACCAAAACTGATCTGGAAAGTGATCATCCCCTTTCTTGATCCAGATCACAAGATACTCTCCACAAAGATCCAGCCTGGTGAGGATAATGACAGAGAATAGTTATTGTAGGAGAACCAAGATCAGCAGAAGGGAACATTGGTTGCGCACAGTGGTATGGTTGAGGGCCATATAATCATTACAAATATGAAGCCCCTCTCTGCAAATTTCTTCTTCAAAAATAGGACAGGGACCCCTGCTGGGGATGTAAAATAACAAGTAAACCCGTGCCACAAATTTTTCTCAATGAAATCAAGAGAGCCACTGTCTCTAGTTCAGAAAGTACATATAGGCAACCCTTGGGATAGTCGCTGTGGGGACAAAATTTATTGCACAATCATAGGAGTAGTTAGGGGAGGATTGTCAGCCTTCTTGGCACTCAGTACATCATGGACCTCCACATACTGGGCTAATGGTGGCTTGGGCATCTTCAATATGGACGGTGGTTGAGTGTCCACAGGTTTCCACATACTCCAGGGGTTGTTTATTATTTATTAAACAAATCTATATAGCCACCTGACTCACACATGGGAACTCCAGGCAGCTTACAAAAATCAGACCCCAAATACAACATCTACTAGACCCCTCATTCCCCTGGCGACAACACCACATTTACACTAGCCAGGAGATCACTGGGTCATGATAGGGCAATCATGGAAGTCCCAGGACAAGCTGGAAGTTGATAACCAACATAACCAAGAACTTGAGCTTTTTGTGATGCTACTGCATGCACAGGATCACCAGTTCAGTGATCTTTACCACAGGTTCTGATGCTAAAGGACACCCAACAATAACCTCAACCCACTACAGGATTCATAGTTGCGTACACAGGGATTCCAACCTGGTCATTGATAAAGTTGCAAGAAGCTCCTGAGTTGATGGTTGTATATACTTGGGTGGGGTCATGCTCCAGAACCTGAAACTCCACTGGGATTGTGTATTTCATCCCTGAACTCAGTGCCCAAGACTAGCAAGAGGGTGTCCCATTTCCCACCTAAGGTCCTTTGGAATATTTCTGGGGACACTGGTGGGTGTAGTGATTCAGCAAGCTAAAAAACAAGAAAGATTTTGCTGGTGGCATCAGTTCTTCTCAGTCAGTGAGTCATGTCAGTGAGCCAACCATGACCATTGCCCAACTGCATTGATTCTTCTGCACCTACTTGCAGGATGCCCATTGAAGGCAGCTCCAACTTGCTGGTGGTGACCACTGAGGTTTTGGGCTGAAATTTGCCCAGACCTACTGAGCGTTACATGTTTCAAGGTGGTCATTAATCAGTATACAGAACTGGATCAGCTCTTGTAGTATGGTAGGACATTTAACTTGGGCCAGCTTATCAAGACCAAATCCAAGAGCCCTTCCTGATCTAGGAAAATTGCATCATTCCAGGCCAAGTGCTACATTATTCCTGGGCATTATTCCTCTCCTTGCTGAATTTGCACAGCTGCAGCTACTTTTATGCAGCTGGCACTGATAATGAGGTGGCCAGCCTACCTGGTCTGAGAGATTTGCTGCTTTCTTACAAGTCACTCACTCTTATGAAGCACAGAGGTGTTCTGTGGTGATCTGATGCCTGGCCCCTGCCTTAGTTGGGGAGGCCTCTGTGCAGATAGAAGTGGTATTAGCAGTACCACATCCGAGGAAGCAGAAGGCTCTTCGGTGCCTGGCACACCCTGATCCTCCAACTTTTCTGACCCTGCTTCATGGGCCATGATAACAAAGGAATCAGGAAGATTAAATGTTTATTCCTGCAGGATCTAGAAGACAAATCTGGGAAATTCTGACTAAAAACCTATAGTTACCTGTGAATTTCTGGCTTCTGCAAATGAATACAGCCATCTCATTTGAAAATTCCCAAGGAAAGAATCTCCAATTTTTTTTTCCCCCAGAAAAGTGGAACTTCACCTAGTAGCTGCACATATCCTTCTAACCAAGCTATTTCTCCAGTGAATCCGGTCTGAAACCTGGAGAACCCCTCAGGTAGACTTTAGGTATGATTGCCAGCCTATCCCTCTGCTCCTGAAGTAAAACACTTTACAAGTGAAACCAAGCACAGCATTCCATAATTAGAGAAGAACAGGAATGTATGGCTAAGTGTAACATTCTGCTTCTCCCCTCAAATACAGGAGGTTGGATATTGAGGATATGAAAAACCAGTATATTCCTTTTTCCTGGGTGGACCAAATGACCATATCTATAACCAGTTTCATCCTGGCAGCTGAAGCACTCTCTGGCAGAATTGTCTGCTAAGAATCTTTCTATTTTGTAATATCTGTTAAAGTTATGAAAAGAGAAATACTCCACCATTATGTGGAGTCCTTGGTGAAATTTGTACGTTGAAAATTTTGTTATGTGGAGAAATATGTTATGTAGAGAAATACATTATCCTGCAAATCTTTTTTAAAGGGAACCTCTCCCCAATGGTTACAAAGATTGCTATTCCTCTGACTGAGTATGTTAAGATTCCCTTCAGCATTGCTATTCCCATAAGCCAGAACAATGCATTTCTCCTTTTGTGGAGGACAGAATGAAAGCTCTGTGATGACCATCAGTATCAACGCTGAATTCATCTGATACTGATGGTCATGAAAAACGCAGATATTTTTCATTTGAATGTCCTGAGCTCTAACACCCTCCTCAAAGATTACCAGAATGAGGGAAAAGTCTCTCCCAGGAGCTTCAATGGGTAACCTGTGACTACATGAGTGAAATTGGAGGTGCTGCCTTGGGTCATCCATAACTGTAGAAGCAGAGCCCTGAATAATATAGAGTTTCTAAGCATCACCTCTAGGAGCAACTATGTTCCTCAGTTATACATGGTTAGAGAAAACAAAATTTGTTGCTGTAGCATTGACTGAGTCACAGCTTTAAAAGTTTGACCCTCTCTATGATTCACTTCCTCAAAGCTAGTCAGAAAGAGAAGTTTGAGTGGAAGCATTGCCATAGGGGAAG